CAAACCACGCCACAGTAGCCTCCTTCACCTGCTATACTGCCCTCAAACCACGCCACAGTAGCCTCCTTCACCTGCTATGCTGCTAACCCAAACCACGCCACCGCCTCAAAACCACGCCACAGTAGCTACTCCTCGCTTCACCTGCTATACTGCTCATCAACCACGCCGCAGTATCGCTGCCTGCAGCCGCCTTCACTCAAACCACTCCACAGTAGCCTCCTTCAAGCCACGCCACCTGCTATACTGCTCCTCAACTGTCTCAAAACCACACAGTAGCCTCCTTCACCTGCTATACTGCTCCTCAAACCACTACAGTAGCCTCCTTCACCTGCTATACTGCTCATCAAACCACTCCACAGTAGCCTCCTTCACCTGCTATACTGCTCATCAAACCACGCCACAGTAGCCTCACCCGCTACACTGCTCCTCATTGCTATACTGCTCCTCAAACCACGCCACGGTAGCCTCTTCACCTGCTATACTGCTCCTCAAACCACGCCACAGTAGCCTCCTTCACACTGCCACGGTAGCCTCTTCACCTGCTATACTGCTCCTCAAACCACGCCACAGTAGCCTCCTTCACCTGCTATACTGCTCATCAAACCACGCCACAGTAGCCTCCTTTACCTGCTATACTGCTCATCAAACCACGCCACAGTAGCCTCCTTTACCTGCTATACTGCTCATCAAACCACGCCCTCCTTCATCTGATCTGACTGGCGCCCTCGGAGGTAAGACGTCAGGTTTCGAAACACACACACACACACACACACACACACACACACACACACACACACACACTATGAACGTCAAACCGTATACTCTCTGAAACAATAGTATCGTATCACATTATCCAAACGAACTGGAAAAAAAAATACCCAAACATTGAATTTTACTTTTATTACAAAATTACAACCCGCCGTGTATACTTCACCCTCTGAATAATGTTACTATATTACCTTCTGCCTGTCCTTGTATGCTAATTGTCATCCAGATACCCTTTTATCTCTCTATATCGTTTACAGGAATAATTGTAGGGAATTTATCATTATAACTTTTATTTTGTATAGTGATGATGAAATAATTCCATGTTTACAGTTAGTGTCGTAGATATATATATTATACAGGGAATAATCCGTGTGTATGTGTTGTAGAGGCTTTATAAAATGCGGCCCCAGGGGTGGACAGGTGAGGGTGGTGGAGAACAGCATATCACCACCTGCCTCCTTGCCTGTGTCTGTGTTAGGTGGTTTCATGTTTATCTGACTGTCCACACACACACACACACACACACGGACATATAGCACTTGTATGCGTAAGTCACCACTCATTATCCAAATAACTCGTGAAAGGGGAAAAATGCATCATCTTCACTCATTGCTGCATAGTGATAGCCTAACCTGATCCCTGTTTTCCCATGTTTACGCCAGGATTTGATTGTGTGTGTCCTCTCGCGTGAATCGAGACCCTAGCCACGGTGTGAGTCCATAGCAACACCAAACTGCACTCTACGACAGCCTCCACTATACCCAGCCGTCTACACTGGCGTCACTTTGCCGCCTTGTTACCTGCTGTATAGTCAGGATTATGGCTTCGGGTTCACTTATTAACCTCTTAGCCAGTTATCGGCTCACAATAGATTTGGGTATAATTATAAAAGTTTCCTACGTATGGTGATTTATTTTCCCCTCTTACCCCGAGTGGTTATAGAACACCTTTACTTGTTAAGAGTTATGTAGATGCTATTTTGAAACTTCTTCGTTCCAGCGAATCAATTAGATACGTTCACAGCACCAGGTAGAGAGAGAGATTTACATCAGTTACCTCCGACTTCTTATGAGTGGTTTACTTATACAATACTATACCTTTATAATCATAATCACCGACCATGTTTTTAGATATTTCTGAGTAAAGTGATGTAGCGGTTCTGGCTCAAGGACACAGCACCAAGCAGCAAAAAAAAAATTAAAATTTGTATTTACAGCTTTATTAGCTAAACTGTGCGTATTATTTTTAATATTTCATGTAAGGCAGACAAGAGGGTTAAGATTGCAGGCAGCAGTAATGTAAATGTAACAGTAATGCAGTAGTAAACACGGGAGGAATTACTCGTTAAGTCCATTGGGGGTGATGTTTGGCGCCATGGCGTCCGAAGGCCACTACGGTCTGGCCAATTTATTTATTTTTTATTTTTTTTTAGTTTTTATATATACTGTAGCTCCCTCACTGTCAGCGTGGTCAGCTACCGGTGTGTGAGAGGAGCGTATCACGTAACGGGGCTCACTACTGCTGGGTCCCTGACGTGTGTGTGTGAAAGTGGGTATCCATGGGGCTGTGGGCGTATAATGAATCATCTAAAGTCTAATGTGATCCTAGATTGTAATGATAAAAGCACAGATAGAGGCGGAGGGTGGCTGTGAGATAGTGACGGTGACAGTAAACATGTCCTGAGTTATAATGTTAGAGTAACTGGTCGTAACAACAACTACACTGAACTAGTAAGAGGATATCTTATCTATCCAAGCGAGGCCAAGTTCTAAGTCAATGACAGTATGACCTTCACTCTGAGCTCAGTGTCTCAGGGTAAGTTGTAATGAAACTTATATACAGTTTAAGATCTTAGGGGAGGAGGCGCGTTTACTCTAGTCTATACCTCGGGTCTCATAAGTGTCGGATTCACACACGTTCGTACGATGGATATTTCTCGTAAGTGAAGATGTAATAATGTATCTAATTGGTTGACATCATACTCAACTTTAACATAAAAATTACACTAGGCTACCTAAAACACGTTAACTTAACGCTGTAAGGAAACAAAATGAAGCAAGAGAATTTATTCTAGATGGTTTTTTTCTCCACCTAAATTTTATCCACTGCCAGTTGTGAAAGTAACTTATCCATGCAAGGTAGAGTTTCACTGTAATTTTTATATTATTTATGGACTTCATCTTTGTGTTTCAACCTGAGTCAATTACCTAGGTGTAGTCTTATTTTTTTACATCTTCTGTGTGACAAACAATCACTATAGGAAGTTAGGAACCTTTCACAGTCCACTTCCTAAACTTAGCTCTCCTGTTTCACCTTAATAATTGACTCTGGCAATAGCATATGTTTTTACGACTTTTTAATTACACAGTAAACCCAAGGTAAATCCCTCTGTGGTGGACTTACTGGCTAATATTCCGTAAATACTGTACACAAACGAACCTAACTCGTATGCCAGTTTGTGGAACAGTACTTTGGTCATATAATTAGGGATGGCGGGATAATTACAGAATATTAATGGGCAAAGTTGAGGATAGAAGGGCCAGGGGAAGGCAGAGACTGGGATGGCGGAATGAAATTAAAAAGTGGGTTCCCAGAGAGATACAAAACCATAAAAGAGGATTGGTAAAAACTGCCCGAGAACGTTAGGAGTGGAGGACTGGTCGTCAACCCTCAGATTTGAGGACAGTACTCTGATTGATTGGGGTGAGTATAATGACCAGATTAGACTAGGTTAAGATGAATAGATTCTTTTAGTTATCTTTTTAATTCCACATCCCCTCTGCTTCGAAGTCCTGGTGGGGTCAAGCTTTACATGGTAGGGTCATAACTCAATATGTCATTCACCAAACTATCATTATCACTGTATTCAACAAAAAATAAAAATGCATTTAAAAGACTGACCTTGTGACCGTTTTCTGTGATCACGTGACTTAAGAAATACAACGTAATTAAGGGCTAGTCTGTAATATGCATGTGAACCTGTCGACGTCATCTTAATGAGTCAGATATGTACACAAGTGCGTGTAGGGAGTGTTCACCCGGGAAACGGGGGGTAGTCTATAGCATTCCCCCTGTTTAGAGCCTTGCCCCCCGCTGTTGGAATTCACTGCACTTTCATATCTCTGACTCCTTACTGAAAATAAGCTTCTGGTGGCTTTAATCAGTTTACTATTGTTTGTTATATCTGCAGTCTAACTTATATGTATTTTTTATACAGTACCTGCAAAGTGCATATTACTGTGCATTGTGTACGTTCATTGTTTATATAGTCTATATATATGCTGAATAGTATAGCTGTTTTGTCTATGAACAAGCTGAATCAATGTAAACTTGTATAAAGAGTTTATTGAATAAAGCTGAACAGAACGAAATTGTACAAACGTTCGTAAGTGTTTTTCGAATTGAGGAAATTTATAGGTCTGGTGAAGCTTTAATTGATCCATTACACAATTACAGTAAGGGTTGTAGCGTTTTGTCCACCATACGAATACGTTCTCCATATTTAGTTACCAGCGTTACAAAATCCACCAAGTTGATCGTCATCCAAATATTTCACGGACATATATTAATTTGTCGTATATATGTATACAGTATATGTAAATTGTAAATTTTTAAATAAAAGATAACAAAAAAAGTTGATCGTGTGGGTACGTTACAGTGCTCAGAACCAGTATTTTTTTATTAAGCTTAATATATTATCTGCTTTCTGAATTTTGTTTATATAAATTAATTTTATTACTTGAATGGTGAAAATATTGTAATATTAACTTTTGGAAGTATTCATTCAGTAAAGATCAGTATTTTTTATGTAATTTCAAACAATTGGTTAAGTACTTCAGCGTTTAGTTGTATTTACATAAAATATACCGTGTTCGTTTGATTAGACAATTTTTCATGATTCATTCATGTATGAGACAATACCTGCGATATTTCCAAATGTTTTTATGTTCTTAAGTTGCATACATAGGTAAAATAGAGCATAGTAACAAATTACTTTTACACAGTCGGGTTGTATCAGGGTCTTTGAATCAGCTGATCGGCTGTTCCATAACCTCCATTCGCCAACCACCGAATATTATATTTCATTTCCTCTATGCACAGAAATAAGTCACTAACAATAAATAAGTATATTGTACATTCATAGAATCTAATGATTATGTACGTAGTGCAGGAGCGACAGGAGTAATGAAGAGAGAATAAACTGGGAAAGAGCAGGAGGGGAGGAGCCTTCATGGCAACAGCCGAGGGAGGGCAGCAAGGTGGCGAGGTTAGCGGCTGGCGCAGTTGTCACTTGTGAAGGGTCAGTCTAGTGAGTGGTACATTACGTTGGGAATACCTACATCACCATGGCTTTTAAATTGACCTTCGTACTCTTACTCCTTGTTGCAGGTAGGTGTAATTGAGTGTTATTATGTTACAGATAAAACTTGATTGGAATCCTATAGTTAAGTATTAAATGTGTATCCGCTGTTATTGTCGGTGAGTTAGACTGGCCAGGCATATGACGGCCTCTGCATGAACATGTCATGTGATACGCCGGTGTCTTCGTTAACGCCCCCAACATAAATTACCATCACCAGGGGGTGGAGGTTCTTGGTATAGAATCTACGCCAGAATTAATGTAGGCCAATTGTTTTCAGTTATATGCAGCGCAGTTATAATGCCAATTGCGTCACTTAGTTCTGGAACATTTCAGACTGGTTGCTATCTGCCTGGGGCTGTCAGAACGCCAGGGTTGTTCTAATTTGCTATTTTGTTGGCCTAGGGTTATCTACAGTATAATGTAAACCACGTTTAGTTTACCAATTCTCAAACTATTTTTGTTTCCGATTCGACCTGGAAATTACAAATATCTGTACTGTACCTTATGTGAATGAATCCATTGTATTTGTTAGTGGTGGTTGTTGCATTATAGTGTGGTGGGGAGGCTGTAGGAGGTGACAAAGTGGAGGGAAAATCCCCGGGCAGCAGCTGTTGCCCGTCCGAATTTTCCGGGGAGCTTCTGTTCTGCGTTTCATTCGGGTGTAACTTGTCATTAACAGAGATGGGTAGCTGTAGTTTGGGACACTTAATATCATTTGGGTTCAAAAACTCCCTTCTGATTGTTGCTTGTTTAAAAAACTGTTCAACAATTGCCTGTAATTCAAAGTGAAAAACAAATTAAGAACCTAGGTTCGGTTATATTGGTCCTTTAGAAACTTGTGCACATAAGGTATTTAAACTTCGTGCTTATGGAAAAATGGACCCAAAATAAAATATGATACAGATGCTTTTCAGACCGGAATAGAAGTATAATAGTTAGGATATTTTATATTAATATTTTTGCCCCCCGGGCCTTGATGTGGGTCATTAAAAATGACCCGTGCCTGGTTGGGCTAATGCCCTTAAAGAAAAGGATAAAATTTTAGTTTAGTCTTCTATATTTTAATGTCCAACCTAACATTAATTTAACCTAATGTAACTATTTCTCGGGTGATTGGAACTAAAATGACTTATTTACATGCAGTTTACAAACTATTGTACATGTAGTTGTAAACCAGCAGTCAGTAATGTGCTACATTGTTTACAAAAGTAAATACTGAATTCCCAAGTATAGTGGTATCTTTTTTCTCGGTAATAGTGGAGCAGACGGTTAGCACCCAAAGGAGTTGATGGAATTCCTTCACTTTTCCCACCGATGATCGTACTTCCTTGTTGCCACAAACCGAATCTTATTTTCAATCGATAGCTGGAACTATTCCAAGACGCTATGATTTCTTCAAATGACCTAACCTAACTTTAAGTATCTTGGAATTGTCTGAACTCTAAAAGAGTTAAAATTCTATTCAGTTGGTGGTAACAAATGTAAGCATTACCATCTGGAGTGGACAATAATTTCATTTGTGCTTTGTGCACGGTGAACTTAATATTTTCCCTTAGTTGGTCTTATAATTTTTTTGAAGCCCCGTTTTCTTGCCTGCTCTTAAACAATAAATTTTGAATCGGTCTGTCAACCTATAAAATGGTGCCGGAGCATCGCATCAAGGGGGTTTTATTTCTTTAAATATTGGCTTAATGTGCTGTTAACCGTTTCACAGGCATCCCATTCCTGTTTGTAAAGTTTATTGGTGTAATTCCTTTATTTATTTAGTTTTTGCATAATTACTTTATTCTATATATAAAAGGTTCATATACCTGTAGTTGGATTTAAATCCCGTATGGGTTTGGGTATACGGTATTCCTAAATTCTTTAGAGTATATTTTGATTCTAAGTGGACTGTTCGAGGGGAGAAACAAGTTGGCCTTTTTGTCTTCACTGTTGTTACGGCATCCTTTGTGGGTTTTGGCAAGTTATGTGCTTGTGGAGGATGAAGTCTCGAAGGAATTCGTCTGTAAACCTGGACATGCACAAAATGCGGCAGAGAACACAGTGAAGAAAAGATTCTGTGCAACAACTGATCATACTATTGTCTTCTAATCTTTTTGCAGCTCCTCGGTGTTTGGTTCTTAATTTCCCTGAATAACTGCATTGTCTGCAGATATTTTTATGGTGTATAACTTTTAACATGTCATTTGAAACAAAGCGGTCTAATCCACTGCCGTGTGGTACCCTGCTTGTCACGGGTACACATGACGATTTCGTACCATTCATCCCCACACCGTTTGCCTTCGTGCAGAAAGTCGCCAATCAATGCTAAGACACTAACCCCAAATCCTGTACTGTACCTCAGTTTCACAGCCTTTCATGGGGTATGCTGTTGGAAGTCATGGCAAAATATAGGTATATATTGTAGATCTTGCCAGAACTTGGGTCCAAACATCCAGTACCTTACAGTAATTAAGCAGGAGTATCCCATGGCATAAAGGCATTGGCTGTCCCTTACAAGGTTGTTTTGGAGTTGATGTTCCATCATGGCATTTCATATAGTAGATTACTGTACTGTACTTTACACTATGCTTGTCAGGCTCACTGGTCTATAATAATTGTGGAGTGACGAGTGCCGCTCATAAATATAGGACTCGCGCAAGCTGTTTTCCAATTGCAGGACAATTTGCTCATTTGGGCAGTAATTGAGTGGGTTTGTAGGTTCAGTGCAATAACAGGGGAAACAAAGCAAAAAAAGTTGTATACTACATACATAATTATACTATTTTGTACATCCACATGTATATTAGATTCAAATAAAAGCTGGAGAAATAAGATTGCAGAACAGTGTTGTGGTAAACTGTTAATTTTCAAGCCTTAAAAACTTAAAAGTGAATTGTACACCACTGTTTGGCTAATTTGAATTATACAGTACAGGCTTATTTTGTATTGTATTCATTATATAGCCAAATGTTGGGACACTTCATTGGTGTTTCTTTGAAGCGCTAGCTACGGGGATGTCATTATGTGACACCTGGACTGATGACACCAACGCAAACAAATGTACAATGGACTGCTGTTTTCCAGGCCCAAGTAGTTAGTTTTTGTTCTGTCTGCAACTGGCAAATTTTGACACGCGCAGAACTGTTTAGCTTGACGATAATGCATAGAACCTAAAATCCTCATGGAAGCTACTGAACTGTCCCCAGACCCGCTAACAGAACTAATTAACCACAGTTAGTGTGCCGTGTTACACTGAAATAATGTATGTGGAATGTCGCTTCCCTGCCGCATTTTGGACATTGCACGGCTTTCCAAAAAGTTCCTGACCGCATATTGAGTAAAGTCTTGATCCTCGTGAACCACAGATGGCTTGCAATGACTTGTGGATTTTCCAGTAGACATGTATCTCAAAACTTTTTGGAAGAATGACAATAGGAACATAGTTGACACTGAATCCAATTGTATAAAAAAATAAAATAAATTGATATTGGTATGTACAGTACATGGCTATTAAACTCCCAGTCAGTTTCTCAATTGTAACGAGTACATGTTCACAAGACTGGATTTGCTCCCCTTATATTGTACAGCATCTTGAGAGCAAACCAGCAGTGGTTACTAGTGGTAATGGGATGCTGCAATTTTTAGTGGATAATTTTTCTTTGCCCCCAAAGTACAGTACTTGGACAGATTATTGTTGCCATATGATCAGGTTTTTTGCTGTTTTACCCTGTAATATTCCTCCGTTTTCATGCTCTGCCTACTGCGGGGGATTTATGGTTGGAGAGGGAAAAAAAATTACTTGCAGGGTAAAGTCTTTTTTGGCTTTTCTTCCAAACGTCTCCAGAAGAAATGAACCAGTTCTATAAACTTGGTAATAAATGGTTTCCTCCACTATTACCCAGATGGTTTTTGCTTTCATCCTCGTCACCACTGATCGGCTCATTTGCTGTTTGGGTGATAGCCCACTTCTGTTATGCACTGTTGGTAAGTACTGGGTATTCCCTGGCTCCTGAATGTATATGAACCTGCTCCAGTGCTTGTCAAGTCTGGCCTTGAAAGAGCTCTCGCTCGGTGCCGTCGCAACACTCGGGTAGATTGTCCCTTGAGTTTACAACTCTTGCACCTGAAAAGTTGCCCCTCCGTTTTCTGGGCTTGCGGCTTCTTCAACCTTGAGCTCCAGGTAAGGACACCCGTCTGAGTAGTGCCCTTTGAGAGGTTTATACACCTCAATTAGGCCCCCCCTTTTGCCTGTCAGTAGTATAAGCTAGGGAAGTTTAGTTGCTCTAGTCTGGTGGCCTTTGGACATTTTCAATCAATCGACAGTCTCTAGCATATCTCGGGGACCAGATAGGGTAACCGTACTCCAGATGGGGAAGCACTTCACTCTTGATCGTTATGAGGGACGGACCGTCATGATATCTGAACGACTTTCTTAGAAGAACTGATAATTTAATCATGGTGCTGCTACTCATTTTGCTAACTAACTTGGAAATGAGCAACACAAATAGCATTGCCGACATATGTTCGTACAATGTACAGTACATAAATTAATATTTGGAGCTCTGCATACGCCTGTGTTTAATTTTGCACATCCTTACTGTACTGTAATTTCTCTAGACGTGCAGCTGAAGTATATACCACGTGTGACTGAACCAGTGGTTCTTTACAAGTCCAGTACCCCGTATTAAAATTAAGTTGAGATGTTTGGAAATTTTAAGGGTAAATTAGCTGCCTATGAATTTGGCATTAGAGGTTAGCATTTGTGATGGATAGTATGTTTTTTGTATGTGCATTAGTGTAGTACATTAGTCCTGTATATTTCATAAAGCTGTAGTTTTAGTAAAGTACCTGTATTGAAGGTTGCCCAGAAACCCAAAAGATTTTCCCAATCTGGAATCCTCAGACACCCAAGTACTCGACAAGCTCCGTACTCTTGACTTGAAAACCAAACTTTGCCCGTAATTTTTAAATTGGTATGTACAATATTTCCATAAATTGGGTGTCTTGAGTTCCTGCAATATTCAGTGGCCCTCTCGATTAA